CGGTCATTTGCAATCACAAAAACCAAATCAGTTGTGCTCAAATCATTAGCAAATCAGTCAGCTCTGACTCGAAACATAATCTCATAACAAAATTTACTCGTATTTTTTGAAAACTCAACAAACGTCGTAAAATTCATTCGCAAACAACAGAAAATGAACCGAAAGCAGGATGTTAGGAAATACAAAGGCGGATTCATTCGGACGAAAAAAAAATGCTAAACCCACGTGGCCGAAAGGAGGAAAAATGCTCAACTGGTAAGGAATATCGGACAGGGAGGAAAGCCTCTCAGATCATCGGTGGCCGAAACGACCAACAACCAAGAAAAAAACAACAGCCACCACATCGGAAACTACACAACAAGACGTCACGGACGCCAGAGAATTACTTTCCTCGAGGCCATCAGTAAAAAAAAAGCCGACAATAATTTTTACCAAAGAAAATACACAACAAGCCAAACAGCACATCCCCAAAAAGAAGACAACACAAACTGTACAAACGGACAATTTTGAAGCGTTGGTGGGAACGCAAACAGACGTTAGTGAGATGCAAAACCAGTTCGTGAGTAAAATAAACTACAACAACGCAAGCCAGGAGGAACGTGCCCCGAATGAAGAATCGCCCACTATGGCAAGAACACAACCCGAAGCCACACAACTGGAAGCTAGCCACCATGAAATCACAGAGGAAATAGTGGAAACCGTAAACCAAACAACGATGACGGAAACAGAGGAGGACACACCACCGTTCCGAAACAGATTTCAGAAAGTCCTGGGGATGAAGATCATCGCCGCAGCTACGAAAAAGGACAAGAATCTCCGACCGCTCATCAATTTTGTGAAAAGCGGGGGTTGAGACTCGATAAAATCATCTTACGGACAGTAATGGTTTAATGTCCGCGACAGACTGCATGTGCGGGAGGACTGTCTGCTGATTGACGAACGTATCGTTATCACAACACAACTGCGTCAAACAATACTGGAAAATCGACATTTGACACACCAAGGGTCGGCTGCCATGCTGGATTTATGTCAAAACGTGTGGTTTTCAGACATACATCGATCAAACTTCCAGATGGCGAAAAGTTGCAAACACTGTACAGAGCAAGGTAAAAACCTTAAACCAATAATAGGAAAAATCATTCTTTCCAAATGGATTCGGTTGTAGAACCAAATGAAGAATAACAATTAGATTTTGCCGGGCCCCTCCCCGATGAATTAAATGAGGACGCTTACATACTCGTTGCTATAGACAAATGGTATAAATTTCCAACAGCAAAAGCGGTTTGAAATACTACAGCGGATGTCGCCATAAAATTCATGCAATGGTGTGTTTCAAATAACATATTACACCGTTGATTAAGATGTGATCAAGCACAAACATTTGGAGCGAAAAAATTCTAACTTTTTTGTAACACAAAAATATCAAGTTGCTTCTCGCACCGGTACACGACCATAGAGCCATAGGGGTGGTAGAATGAATGATACAAACGTTAAAACGTCAACTAGGGGTTATGAGAATAGATCCAGCAAATACACCATGAAAAATGGCTTCAGACGTTGCCCAGATAAAAGAAAAATTTGCGCAACATGGCGTAACAAAATTTCACCTTTTGAAGCACACATGGGCAGAAAACCAAATACTCCCCTGTGCAACTTGGCAACAATTAATTCACCTTGTGACCTTAACTGGGAAAAGGCAAAACACGCATGTAAAGATCATAAAAACCTCACACAGCCACCTTTGGCGGCTGAAATCATGCACGACTTGCAACAATGGTTGGAGGATGAAGTTTCGATCAACCAACGACAACAACTACAACTGCAACCAATTGGAGCCGACAAGACAACAAAACCAACATCAGGTGTGAAACGCAGACGCATCGTTGCAATAAAAATAGATAAAATAAACAATAGGTATAAGGAATACAATCATCCACCGACAAAAACATTAGCAAACGACTAGAACAAGTGGCAAGGAAAACGATCCGAGTGGCTACTAAAAGATAGCAAAACATTCCAACAAAAATAAAAAACAAACGACGGGAAAACTTTAACTTACACGCCACATACAGCATCGGTACAGGCATTCTGAAAAAACCTAGACTTTTAAGAAATAGTGGGGTTGCTTTTGTAATTAATCCTTTAATCTACGGACCGTGTCGACCTTCACGGTTATGTGACTACGTAGCTTACAAATCCGCAAGGAGATCAGGACCTTGTCTTCGTTTTTTAGACATCGAAGACCCGACGGCGCCTCAGTATAAAATGTTCCGGGAGGATGAACAAACAGGGCTGACAAGAAAGTTGACAAGACAGGAACAAACAACGCTACAGGAGCAGAGCAACAAATAAACCAGCCCAACCAAATGGCGGCACAAGCCAATGGGGAAGAGAACATGCGGACGTCCGTGCGACAAACCGCGAGGAACGAGTCTATCCTCATTGGAGAAAAGCACGAAAAGTCAGACCCCAACTAAGGAAACAACCATCCATAGTGACACGGAGAGCAACTGGTCTTCAAATTCAGAAGCGGCCAAACCATCGTCCAAAAGGGTCAACCAAAAGAAAACACCGCCAGCATCAACTTCATTTAACATGGCACCAACGAGACGCTCTATTCGCCAACGTCACTCAACCTTGGCTGAAGCTTTTGGGGATCCCATCCCAATAAATACCATCGAAGAATCAATCACACACAAAAAGACGGTGAAATTCAACATTGATTCGCCACCAGATCATATGAACTCACCGACAAAACCAAGCCTCAAATCGCTCATTCAGGAAATGGGCTTCACGGACAAAACACACGAGTATCAGACGTGTATGAATTTTCGTGAGGCGATCAGCCCGAAAAACAAGGTCAAACAAACGGAAGAAATTATCGACCTCATTTCGTCAGATGAAAGCCCGAACAAAATGGTCATTTTATGTATTGAAAACAAGAAAAGCAGCAATGAAGCGGACAACACCACAAACAATGATGCCACACAAAAGGAACACGATAAACTAGAAGATGATAACAACAATCAAGAAGCAGAAGAAACGGAAAAATAGCGAACAATAGGCAAGAGGAAGAAAATGCACAAACAGTCCTGAAGGGACTCTAAAACTCAAAATTGAAAACTTTTAAATTTCCTGAGAAGGGGAGTGTCATCCGGTACGGGTCGATAAATGTATCAACGTTGCTATTTAATAATTTGATGAACATATTTATATATATTGTTTGGTCAGTTGACCTTGGTACGGCTGCATGCCGACTTAAGTCCTGGAGCAAGACTCTGACAATAATTTATGTTTCTGAACAACAGCTGTTTTGTCCAATTCACATAAAGACTACGTTTATCAATCCGTTCGGATTCATTATACTCACGCTCATACATTGAGGTATGACAATGAGGTTATGATTATTGTCAGTAACTTTTTTTTGCATTCTGAAAAGACCAAAAATAAGCCCTGCTTCATAGATGGTTAAATTCGGAACTGGGATTTTAGTTCATAAATGAATTCATCTATAATAATTCCCTTAAATCATTGATATTTCAGATATGGTCATGGAAAAGCGGACGCTAAACAGACCCTGAACCAATATTGTCAAAATAAGATTTTTCTCAAATTTTTTTTGAAGGCTGGCCAAGTAGAGGATGGTCATTTTTTTTCGAAAGGCGTCATGGGTAACATTATATATTGGTGTCTATAACCGCTATAGAGTCAAAATATAGCATTGAAAATCACATTAAAGGCACACATTTTGATTTGAAATCAAAATCGAGCACTGTGTTAGTGCTATACGTCACAGCCGTTAATCCGTCTTCGAGACAAGAAATTGGGCCGAGTACAAATTTGAAACGTATTAAGTTTTTTTTCGCCAGCATTTGAGATTAGTGAAAAAAATCGATAATAATGAATTTTCGCGGTCTAAAGTATTGTCAATATTATCGATTCTCATGCTACGCTCAGACAAAATTGGACTGAAAAAAGATTTAAATTCATTTTTACCCGCAAATAATGCATTACAATTAGTTTGAAATCCGTTAATTTGAAATTATAAAATAAGTAGAAAATCACACTAAAATGGATTGTTTCCCACTTTATTATTGTTTGGCGTCATGCAAGAAGTTCTGCAATTACCAAATGAATAATGCGGAAATTTTGTAAATCGAGTCTACGGCCTACTCTTAAACCTAAACTTTCTCAAATCGCAAAAAGAGAAACTTTCAATGCATAATTTGAAACATGGACCGCCACCATCATCTACTGTTATTGCAGTACGCCTTAAAATCTTTTGTTTCATCAAATCTACTACTACTACTACTACTACTACAACTCTATCATCATCATCTTAAGCCGCTCATCCTAATACGCCCTTCCCTGTTTGACTTACCCGAAGGAGTAGACACTACCCTATCCAAAAAATACACTTTTAAAGCTTTAGTAAACGGAGTTCTTTTATCAATAACGATTTTAAAATGCTTAAAATGAGTTAGACAAGCCAGGTCAGTTTCACTGCCCCCGATATTTCTGGGTTCCTTTGGTTCTACTTGGAAAAACCTATCCCAACTGATTGAACTGTGTTGACCCCACGATCTCCCGAAAAGCTCCCACTGTATTCCCCGTTTTATTTTCCACGTGTTGACAGTTCGAAGAACACCACTTTTCTAACCGCAATAGACTTGACGTTTTGTCCGAGCGAAATTGCGATGTTTCTGGCGCTTGGTTTCTGGGGCTTGCCCGCATACTGGGGGCTAAAATTTGCAGCACCCTGAGGTTTTATTGATCATCAAAAGTTTTCAAATATTCGCTGAAAAGGTTCACTTGCTCTTTTTGATTGGTTGTAACAACACCAAGCAACCAAATACTGGGACCAGAAATAGTTTAACAATTTCTATCTCTGAACTTTGGTCAATCATTCAAATTCAAGCTTAAATCATTTCAGAACAATTAAACTTCACCACATTTCGGCTCCAAACGAGTCATGACCACTTTCAGTTTTGTATGTTTGAGTTTAAACATTGCAATTTTGCCATCTGCGCTCAATTCGCTCAAGCCTGAAAACTTACACGTTCGATCTAACAAATTCGTTTACTCAATTTCATTTTCAAATTCGAAATAGCCATTGCAGTCCACCAAGCATCTGATTCGCGAGTTTGAACCACAAATTAACAAAAATATTGTTGTTCTTTTTTTTTCAAGTGAGCATTAGACCGTTTTCGCAAAACAAAAGGTCCAGCAGTCGTTGGACTCTTTGGGGGAAGTTGCTGGTATGCCCCCTAGCAGGGTTTACGCATATTTTGCAGTAACTTTTTGATTGAAGCAGCGTTTTGCTTTCGCCATCCAACATTTCAAACCGAGAAAAAAATAAAATCTCTTGAATTGCGTCAAGCTCATTTGAAAAAAATTGTGCTAAAGATTTCTATCTTTATAGAATGTCGATTAAGCTTACCTACTTTCCTGGAAAAGGCGCCGCCGAATTGACGCGGTACATCCTTGCGTACGGTGGGCAAGACTTCGAAGACAACCGAATCACTGGGGATATTTGGGCGACTCTGAAACCGAAGACACCTCTTGGCTCTGTGCCAGTGGTGACGCTGGAAAGTGGGAATGAGTACAGCCAGTCTATAGCTGTGGCGAGATATTTCGCCAATAAGGGATCAATTGAACTACACTCATTCAGGCTTCCTTAAAAATGAGGCTCCTTCAGATTAAGTCAAAAGCTGTTAGTGAAACCTTGTTCGGTTGAAAAATTCAATAAGTATTCAAAAACAGCATTTAGGCGAAGCGCAGAAAATAAATTGGCGTAATGAGTCAAAACAAACTAATTTGAACTTTTTTGAACCCAGCTTTCGAGAAGAGATTAATGCTGAACTCGCCTCTGAAACTAAAAACATACTTACCTCCAGCGGATTTTTTTTTTTTTGGGGGGGGGGGGGGGGGGGGTTGGATGCTCTTTTTCTCAGGGATTTGATCCCCTGCCTACCCCAAGGATCCCCCTTTGTACTATTTTGAGATATCTTTTTTGGCTGACTGAACCTTGAATTTTTCTAAAGGCGCCTTTGGCTCCGTAATATAATAATTTTGAATGGGGAGCGTTTTTTTAAAAAAAATTGCCTGCGGCGCAGAAAGTTCGGTCCAAATGGGGTCTTTATAGTGATTTGGGAGGGCTCATATTATCAATTTTGTCGACCTAAAAAAAGGTCGACAAAATTTGCAAAATTTTTTGAAAAACCGCCCTCTCCCCTCAAGAAAAACCTAGATACACCCCTGTTACTTACTATGTTAAAATGATCAATCATGCAATTTTAACCCGTGCAACCCGTTCAAAACTTTGCAAAGGCGCCTTAATAAATGTTCAGTTGAATGGCCAGAGATAAATGTCCTCATAAGATTGTAGCGAAGTTCGATACCCAACTCTGGTTCGAAAACCAGCTCTGATAAGACTAACTTTCGTCAGATGGGGGGACTTCTTTTTTATCTTCGAGGAACTAAGACATATTTTGGGTAAGGTGGGGAGCCAGAAGTTCAACTGACCCTGTAATACAGTTTGGAATAACTGGTAAAACAGAGGAGGAAAAACTACATTCTGATATGATTGTGGACTTGATGAGAATTGACATCATGCCTCTCTTTGTGAAGATCTACTTCCAAAAAGACGAAGAGACGAAGAAGACGATGACTGAAGAATGCAAGGCGAAGACTCTGACTTGGCTGAACAAATTGGAATCGGGATTGGTCAAAGGAGAGGCATCTTTTCTCGGTAAGGGCTCCGCATAAAAAAGTTGCCCTACGCTTTTAAAAAGCTGCCCTAAACGGTAGTTGCGTCTCAAAATTGTACTCTAATTGTTGAACCTAATTTTTTGAGACCTTCTATTGTTTTGTCAGGAAAATTTGTGTTTTTTTGGCGGTTCCAAAATGCTTGGAAATTAAAAATTGGTTGACATTATGAAACATAAGCATATGATTTTTCATAAGCTTTTTTTTGACATTACCTATGTTTGAAAGCTAGATCTCCCTATGAAAGCTACTTTTAACATAAATTATTAATCGAAGCAAGTGGAAAAAGGCGGGAAACACTAAAAAATTAAAGCAAACTAAATCTTCTAGACTGATTGAATGCGCATACAAAAACAGTTAAGAAACAGGTGTGTTTGCTTCAACCCAAAGCCACTCAGATACAGTTCTTCTGTCCACCAAATCTTCTAGAATTTTTTCTTTACCGCCCACTAAAAATTTTATAAAACTGTTCATTTTTTTTCAATTGGTATGAATCTTAGCACGGTAACCTTTGCCCAAATTCCTAACAGATTTGGATTTTAATCCACAGTTAGGTAGAAATACCCGAAAGTGACTGGTTAAACCAAAATGATATACATTTTTATATTTGGTGACGATGGATGAGTTGAAAAAAAAAACTCACACATCTTCAATGAACTTTGGCTTCTGTTCCAGAGAGTGGTTTCTCCTGGGCAGACATAGCCCTGTTCTGTCTGGTGAATGACCAGTTCCCCCTCATCCAGATGGACCTGGGAAGCGACTTTCCCAAACTCACTGCTATCGTCGACAAAGTAAAGTCAGATCCCAAAATTGCAGCCTGGATCGAGAAACGACCTGTGACACCAATGTGAACAGAATGATTATGAAAATGACAACTCTACTAGTTGATCAACTAGTTATTATGACCTTTGACAAAGCGATGCTCAATTATGGATTTAATTTGAAAACTTCCCAAAATAGAAGATATACTTTAGAATGAAGGGATTAAAGCTTATCCATAAAGGATTTCCGATACTTAACCCTTGGATATATTGCCAACCTTGTCACCTAAATACCTAAATGACGTTATCAATTAATTTTGCCTGACTGTCCTTGAAAAACCCCAATAACAACGTTCTCCCAAAACTTTTACATGCAACATAAAATTTTGATTGCTTTTTTCTCTTTGGTTTATCAGCTGAGCTCAAAGTGCCTTTAGTTGAATTAAAAGGTAATTGAATTAAATTGAAAATTTGAAACCTCAAGTCAACAATCAACACCTTGAACAACTTTCATACAATTTTCAATCATGGAAAAAAATTTAACATACAGTTTCGTACAATTCCATGCATACAAAAATGAATGAAAACTCTACGATAAGCAATTACGAGGTCAAACTGTGCATTCTGTGCATTGTAAACGGAATCTGCAACAGGTCAAAATCAGATTTGTCGCGGAATCTGTAATATTTCTACATTTATTTGATCTTCTATGCTGTTTTGGATTCCACGAACAAAAACATAAAATATTGTACCTCTAATAATTGCTCGAAAATTAGGCAAATTTCCTGAATACGCAACTGTATTTGCAAAATCCAGAACAGTTTGTGGAATCCACAAACAAATAATAAGACATATGTGTAGTAACATTGAGCTGTTTCGGAATCCGCAACTGTAAGCGGAATCCGCAAATTGTAAGTGGAATCCGCAAATTGTAAGTGGACTCCGCATTTTGTTTGCGGATTCCACTTATATTTGCGGATTCTACTTACATTTTGCGGATTCCACTTACGTTTTGCAGAATCTACTTACAGTTGCGGAATCCCGAAAAACTAGCTACATTTGTTGGTGCGGAATCCGCAACAAAACAAATGTGCCGACAAAATTTACGTTACAGCTATTTGTACGCGGAATTCACGAAACATTTCTAAACTAGAATCCACTTACTTTTTGGAATATATTTAAAGATTTGTATCTGGAATTCAGAAACATACAGACACAAACTTGTGCGCTTATCCAGTGCACAGGTTGGCCTCGTAATGAGCATTTTTTCACATATGGAAATTGTATGGTTACCAGTTTTTGATAAAGAAAAATTCTGATTTTGATTTTGATTTATGCGGGTGAGCATACAAATGATTTCGCATCAAAATTTGAAAAATTTAAGAACATTCCCTTGAACAAATAAACTTCCACTTTTTCTAAAATTTTCTAGACTTAAAAAAAGCTTGTCATAGAAACTGTATACTTGAAAAATCTTTTATTGGCATCTTTTCAATGCACTCATTAAACGGAAATGTGAAATGAGGAGTTTTATTGTTTGGAGGTCAACCCGAGTAAAAAAAACTTGGCTTCGATGAGGGCCTGCAGCTCGTAGCACACCATAATTCAAGCAAAAAGCCAACAGATACAAGGGATCAGGTACAGATCAAGAATTACCTGAAGGAGCAACTGTACAATATACACCCATTGATTAAAAGGGGACATAACTTGGATTTTTCAGAAATAATTTAGGGTATAGAATTGTGAAATAAATTAATAGAGAAAATTGAATAAAAATACATGATTTTAGATCATCAACAGCATTCAAACGCAATCCCATGAGGATTGTGAAAAGTAGTTTTTTGTGCGTTTCATCTTTTATCTTTTAACCTTATTTACTTTTAGAAATAATGCATGCTGGGGAGCAAATTTGTAGGTAGGTCACTTACGGGGGGTGGATCGTTAATCCTATGTTGATCGAACAGTCGGTTTTTCTACTAGAAACTTAGAATTTTTGACTTTATTGAGAGCATTTTAACAAAAAATTTATCTTCCGCTCTTTTGATTAATTGACAACTAATTTGAGGATCGAAATTTCTAACATTAAAGTTCAGAAAAAGAAGATATAAAATTAAATATTTTTTGCCAGTAAGAACTTTCTTAAAACTGACACGCTTGTCACCTAAATCACGTTATCAGTTTAATTGAAAACCCTCAATAACAGCATTCTCCCGAAACCTTTTTTTGCAACATAAAAAAATTGCTAATATTTTTCACTTAGACTTATCAGGTATCTCAGAAAGGGTATTTAGTTGAATTAAAACCAGCGAAAATGTTGAAAAAGTGAGACCTCGAGTCAACAACTTAAACAAATTCTTAATTGATGTGCTTGACTTATTGCTCCCCAGCCCGAGCAAAAATGCTTGTCATACAATATTCAAAAATGGAAAATTGGAAAAATGTTTATCGAACAATTTTGTACTATTCCATGCGTACAGATAATGTAAAAAAAACTCTACCGTAAAATTTTAACAAATATATAATTGTACGATAACCAGTTTTTAAAAAAAGAAAAAAATTGAATTTGGTTTTGATTTTTTTGTTCAATTGTTTAACTGTTCCGTTCTTTTAAGACGTTACTGCTTTGAATAATGACAACTAATTTCAACCGCCTGATCGAGTTTTCTAATCTTACAGCTCAAAAAAGAAAGAAATACAATTAAATATCTTTTACCAGTAAGATCTCCACTAAAAACAGTTAATTGCTTTTATTTCCCAGGTCGAGGTGTTCGATTTATGTTTCGACTTTCTCGGTAAATATTCGGTATGATTCAATTTTCTCGACCAAATTTGGTATATTTCGACTTTCTCGACCCAACAAAAAACTTTGTTTGACCCACTGCAGGTATGTTTCGACTTTATCGACCAAAGTAGGACATGATTCGACTTTTTCGACCGACGGACCGACATATTTTTAGGTTTGTGTGTTCGACCCCGCAGGTAGATATGTTTCGACTTTCTCGACCAAAATTGGGCATGATTCGACTAACTCGTCTTTCTAGACGAACAAAAAAGCATCCAAAAATTAAATTTGATCCATCTCAAATTCCTTTCAAGCAGCGCGCCTAACTACAAGATGAAGATGTGCATGATTATCTTAATTTTTTAGATCACAAAATGTTAGCTTTACTTTGTGCTGGGTTAAAGAAGAAATACACGAGCTCAGTGATTAATCACTTTCTTCGAAAGCCGGAAAATCACGGCTCTTTGTATTAAGAGGAAGCCCTGAGTGAATCAGGAGAAAGCTCTGACGAAGCCCATCAGGGGAAAGCCCTTGAAAACTGCCATTTACTTATAGCTTCGTAGGAAATGAGTTTTTTGAAAAAGAAGAAACAAGAAAAATAGAGAAAAATTAAGATTTTTTTTGTTAGCAATGGCCCACCTCGCCAAAACCAGACTCGCACCTAACCAGTTATTGCAAAAAAAAGAAAGCCTTGCTTCGTCAGAAAAAAAAGAACTTCGATGTTAAATATTGATCCAGTTCTGATTAACAGCTACCAAAGTGATAACATGTTCCTTATACATCGAAAATAGCATGATAACTTCTGATTCCGTACTTGTTGAAAACACGGCGCGTGTTTTTTTTTTGAGTTTGCCTTTTTTGTAAAATTTGATTTTTTTGAAGCTCATCGAATCCTCTCTGCAACATTTTGTGCCTTCAGGTGAAGCTTATTTAAATTGCAAACTAGTAAGTACTGGCTGGTATCGACTGACGATTCTTTTGCAAAATTTTATATGCCGGAAGAGTAAATTGAGATGATGTTTTTTTTCACTTAAGTAAAGTAGTTTTAAGTTTTAATTGCAATATATAAAGCCTGATAACCAATAGATGAAATTGATCCAAAAAAACAAGCTTCTGACTGAAGCTTAAACATCTGAGATTGGACCTGTAACAATCCTTCTCAACATCTAGACAGGTGAGAAGAGCAAACTCAAAAATTTGGCGAAAAAGCCAGAAAATAAACTAAAAATTTCGGTAATTTTGCGCACATGAAAAAATTCAACAAAACTAAAAAACAACCAAGTACAATTTTTTCTCGCCTTGTAGTCGGAACACAGACACCAATGTTGAAAGGAGTACAATGATAAAAATTCTTAAATTTTTCCCACTGCTTTTCTTGTCCGAAATTGAAAACTAGTAGAACATTTTTGATACTAATGTGAGCTGTTTTCTCAAAATAGTAAAATTAGGTTCTAATATTATCAAGTCCGGCTGGAAGCAATTTGCAGCACTTGCATTTTAAAATTGAACCATAAAACATTTCAAACTCTCTATCTAAAGACAGAATTTATTTCAAACGTTGTAACTTTTTGATGAAATGAGATATGTCCAAAGTACACCAGCTAAAAATTCGGCAATTATCTCAAACAAGAAGCGATAAAACTGATACGTTAAACAGGATGTTTTGAAAAGTTTCGGATCAGTTTTAATACATCTGCGATTCCCCATCTACCTCTCATTTCGAAGTTCCATGTTTTGAAACTGGTTGGATTACCCTCGAAGACGATTTGTTTTTTTTTGTTGTTTACTTTCAGCTAATTAATTCGCTCGGTGAATGAAATGAACTTACCATTTTCATTTTCAAAAAAAAATTCCGCTTGCTTTCCAATTTTTTCAGAATCTTCAGATTACAGTTATTTTAAAAAATGACTTTTTAGATAATTCTTTTAGACAAGTTAAAGGGAGATAATTAAAAGAAAGTGCTGAATATTTCACCTTCTAGAGGTCATTTGGATCAAAAAATAAACCAAAAGAATCAAAGTAAGGCAAAAAGGGCCGCTGAACAACGGTTCTAAAAATGAAAGTAATTTGAAAATTATTCGAAACAAATTCAACCTAACTAGCTGGTGAGCGGTTTGGTTTCGACAAAAATAAAAGTACAATCTCATTAGTGGTTACTCGTGATGCCTTACCTACACATATCTATTATCAACGAGCGGCAAAGACTTTGTTCAACCTGCAACTTTAATTTTATCCAACCGACTGAATGTTTACAGCTTTGTTACTGGAATATAAAATAAAATTTTGGTTCTTTCTTCCATCAAGATGCAGCTGCTGCTGACGTTTTTTACGTGGCGAAACTGTGCATTTTTGTAAATTGTAAACGGATTCCTCAATAGGCCAAAATCAGGTTTCTTACGATTTCCGCAACATGCTACTTTGCTGTTTTTGATTCCACAAACAAATAGCTAGTCGCTCAAAATGGCTCCAAAATCAGGCAAATTTGCGGAATTTCTCGAACAGTTTGAGTCCCCAAACAAATAAAAATATAAGTACTAGAGTTGCGCTTTTGCAGAATTCACCACTGTAGGCGGATTCATCAAATTGTAAGCGGAATTTGCAAAGTGTAAGAGGAATCCGCGTTTTGTTTGCGGCTTCTAT